TTTCATTATTATTATTGTTATTGTTATTTTCATTATCTTTATTGTTTTTATTATTCATATTGTTACAAATATTATTGATTAATACTATATAAAGCTTCCAAGTGTAAAGTCTGAGTCTTGAGGCAAGGGACGGCATTGAGGACTTCAGGAAACTGGTCTCCCGCGTGCGCGGTCCAGAAGGCGTCCGCCTCGTCCACGTCGTAGGACCTGAAGGACTTGCCTAGAAAGTTTGAAGCGTTTCGTCTTCGAAATTTTTCCAGTTTTGGGGTGCCTTTAGAATTTTTTGACCTAAACCCTTGCAACCCTAAACCCTAAAACCAGGAGTCTTGGGCTTTCTCATCGCCGGCTTCGGGGTTTCGTTGAATCGTTCTGGGCGCCGCCTCACTCCGGGCCGCGCCTTGCTTTCGGTGGGGCCGAGGCATCCTCCGACTCGACTGGCACCTGCAAGAGCAGACAAAATTCAGGCTTCGGGGAGTTTGTGGTTTGGTTGTTCTTGTTACACTGTTGCCTCCCACCTTGCCAGGACAATGCCCGAATTGCAGGATTGTTCAGCGTTCAGGGTGTAGCTCGGGGGCAGCAGGGCGCATTTGCGCATCTCATGGGGCCCCAATCAAGAGTAGAGCAGGCCTTTTTGACCCTGAACCATACGCGCCCTTTTTCCCTGAGTGAAGGAGCTTGAGGCTTAGAGTTTAGCGCTTGGGGATTTAAGAGCTTCATAAAGTTTAGTGTTCGAGGACGGTTCGGGCTTGGGACATTAGAGTGCAAGCCCCTGTTTTCATAACGGCAGCATCAACCCCAGCACTCCCGCAGCAAGACAATTGTTGACTTGACAACTCGGCTACTCACGAGTTTATCTGACTATCTAAAGCCTGATCCGAAAAGCCCGAAAGAAAAAAAACAAGCAACGCTCCATTCCGGGTGTTTGGCCCCAGCTTCGGCTGGCTAGTGCGAAATCGCTTCCCTCTAGGGCCCGAGCCCTCCAAGGGCTTTAGGATGCATCTCGGGGTCCCCTACTAGAGGTTGCCTCATATAGGGTTTAGGGCTTAGGGTTTTTTCCCTCCCACTTAGGGTTTAGGGTTTAGGGTTTAGGGGCTTAGGGTACCTCTTCTGTAAGCCTTTTATTCTTGGCAGTTTTGCGCGGATGAACAGTCCTTGCCCCTAATGCTTCCTCGGGCTTCTTGCTGTCTTTTCGCTATAGACGGTGCTGGGGGACCCCACCTGAAGGATCAAGGGCATCGATAAGTAGGTGACAAGGGAGCTTGTAGGTACTCTGTCAAAACACACTACGCCTACCTATGGCCTACTTCCTAAGTCCCTTGACCCTTCAGCTTGTCAGCAAGGGATGCGCGAGCGGGAGTCTACAGCTTCGGGGGGGCCCTTCGGATGCGGCTGATATCCTCAAGCCCTGTGAGGGGAAGTAGAAAACATCGACGCAGGGGGAACTAGAGATGACAGCCAGGCCCACTTAGAACGCTATCTCCCAAAACCGCGGAATGTCTCCGACCCTGCCAGGGCTCGACTCACTACACCCGGTTCTGCTTAAAGCCCAGAGCCGCAGAAGCCCTGATCTGCAGCCTGCATTTTGTTCAGCCGCATGCCGAGGATGTCGTGCACCATTGCCTGCTGGACCAAACGGCTCCAGGTTGGGCCCGATCTTTCGGCTGTAGGCTTGAGGACACTCGTGGGTGTAGGGTTTAAGGACCCGTTCGAGCTCTACTCTTCACAACCGGAGCTCTTTCATCACCAGCCCAAACACCCTCACACTTGCACTTGGCCTGGTAGGTCCATGTGTGGTTGAGCATCGTGACCAGGTCCTAGGCACTATACTATCAGCCTCGATAGTCTTTGGGCCTGGCGTGGGCTTGCTGGGGGCTTGAGAAGGTGGCAACAGTAGCAGTGGCGGTGGTAGCAGTAGCAGAAATCCTAAACCCGACACTTGCGAGGCCGCGGCTACATCTCGGTCGAGGATGCACAGCAACGGGCCTTGGGACATGCTGTGATATTTAAGGTTTAGGGCTCAGGGTCTAGGCTCTTTGATCTAGAGCTTGGGGCCTTCGATTTTCAAGTTTTCAGATTGAGGGCTTTAAGGTTTAGAGTTTAGGGCATGACGTTTGCGGCGGTCGCGGGGTCTTGGGCTCCACAGGCGCGGGGGTCTCCAGACCTGCCTCCTGAAAAACCCATGCCAGTATGAAGGGTGTGGCTTTCCGAACAATTCTAAGGGTGCCCTGCTAAACAACCCCAATGGTTGGGCCCCAATCTCGTTTGAGGAAGATCCTTCATTCAGGAGCTTGGGTTCTCTGCATAAGCTAGTGTTTTGAATGATGAGACCATTTTGCCTGCGGGCTTTTATGCCATACATGTAATATAGCAGCAAAATCGGGAATCCCTTGTGTCAGTTCGACACCGCAGAGCCAAGTCAGACTAGGAACTTGCGCAAGGAACCTGCAAGCAATTCGAGCTGGTGAAAGTCTTTGGGCGCTTCGGTTCAGGAATCCGTAAGCCACGCCAAATCCTAAACTGCAATCAGGGGACTTTCGTAAGTGTATATGCAATGGCAGTGTACAGACTACAACTAGCGTGGCGAACCCCTATATTTCCCTGATAAAGATCCTTCCAAACACCTCGTACAACCGTAAATCATTACAAAACCTTCTTCGCAACCCTATGGAACCTTCCTTTATTATATGACCCTTGAATCCTAGCCTGTACAAAACCCTCATACAGCCCTCTGGCACCCTTATTGTATGACCCCTGCATCATAGCCTTCACAAAAACCCGGAACCCTAAACCCTAAACCCCAGCATCATAGCCTCTACAAACAACCGGAACCCTAAACCCTAAACCCTAAACCCCTGCATCCTAGCCTTTCTACAAAAAAAACCGGAACCCTAAACCCTAAACCCCTGCATCCCAAACCCCTGCATCCGAGCCTTTCTACCCTAAACCCTAAACCCTAAACCCCTGCATCCTAGCCTTCACAACAACCGGAACCCCTTTTTGAGCACGGACCGGAACCCTAAACCCTAAGCCCCTGCATCCTAGCCTTTTCACCCAAAACCGGGAACAGGACGGGCGGCGCGAGGCACCCGGCGCCTCGGCGCTGGTGCGCGCCGCCGCGAAGAGCTCGGCGGCCACGCCGCTCTTGGACCTCGGAGTTAGGGGTTTAGGGGTTTAGGGGTTTAGGGTTTAGGGGTCTATGGGGTTTAGGGGTTTGGGGTTTAGGGGTTTGGGGCTTCAGGGTTTAGGGCTTTAGGGCTTTAGGGTTTAAGGATTTAAGGGTTTAGGGATTTGGGGCTTGAGGGCTTTAGCTTAGGGGTTCGGGCTCTTGGACTCTCGGGTCCGGAATCTGGGGTTTAGAAGCATGGGCCTAGGGCAATTGGGGCTTGGGCTTGGGGCTTTCGGGGCAGAGTTCAGTGTAGACTGCTGTCTTCGGATCCAGATCCGGCAAGCCGCAAGACTACCTTCTGAAAGCCCAAGACAACCACATATGAGCCCAACGAGCCCCAAAGCACTCACTGTCACCCGCACTGGGATCCCTGGAAAGCCCGAAGCCATCAACCCGCTCAAAACCTGGACCCAGAAAGCCCGCAACGTCAAAAAGCCGCTGGAAACGAACTTGCAAACCCTAGTGTTTTTCTGCCCTTGGGGTTTAGGGCTTATGCTCTGTCGGATTTTGGTGTTTCTGCAATGCCCTGAAGCCCCGGCCGCCTCGCGGCCAGTGCGCAAAATATCCTTTTCTTTCACCAGCAACTCGACTGCTAACCCCGAAGCCCTAAAAAGTGCGAGTCCTCCGATGCCGTATTGCTCCCAAACACCATACATGGGACAGGCTCTCCCACCTCCCAAGACCTCTTCAACTAGGAGTGAAGTTCTCGGAGCTCGGGTCCCCATGTAGTAACTTTATCACAAGCGTGGCTCTGCCTCTTCGGGAATGCCCAGAGCGAGCCTACTTCAGAGAACCACCCCCTGCGTCGAGATCTCGTAAATTCCAAGTTGCAGGAGCTCACGGATGCGCTCCTGAACAAAGGGAGCTGAAGCTCCCGGCTGCTTTACTTCAAAGACTTACAGGACTTCATATAGTGAGTATGGTTGTAAGTCAAGCAACCCGGTGCTTGCTTTTCTCATACCCCCACTTGACCTACTTACAACCATAAGGCACAAAGTCCATGCTGCAAAGCCCCGGTGTTAGGGCGTTTCGGCTCGCGGCTCGGCGCTGCGAGATCACGGCCGTTGAAGAGGAATCCTGCTTCCTGAGCCTGGAGTTTCCACCAGCGGAAAACATCAAAGGGACGGGATACCGTCCTCTCCGACACAAGCCCTGAAACCCAAAGCCTGCATCGTTTTGGAGCAGCTGCAGTGAGCATCCTAAACCCTACATCGTCCTCTAATCGTTCTGCCACCATCTGAGCAGCTTCGCCGGGTGGACAGCGGATCACCTGAAAAACCCAGGCTTCAGGGCTCACCGCCCTTATCGGCGCTGTAATTCCAGGGTCTTACATGCATTCCTTGCACAGGGGCTCTTTATCTAAGAAAGGCTATGTAAGGGTCTGTAAGGTGCCAACACTGCTTTTGGGTGCTGAGAGTTCAACGGATCCGGAAGCCCAAACCACGGCAAATCACTGCACCCTTGCAGCCCTAGCCTTGACGAGGAGGTGCAGGAGTCCACTGTGCGATGCAGACTACATCATCATGTTAATGATGGAAATAATTCAAACACTCCGAATAATACAAATGAGGGAGACTATGAAACTCTCAGGAGTACAAGATTCATACAAGTTGCGCTTCCAGGGTTTAGGGTGCTCGGCTGTAGATGTGTTGTCATCAGCCCAGCAACCGGCAGCACTCGCATCGTCGCCACCACGGACAGAAGCCCGTCGACAATGCGCTCGACGCCCCTGCACCATCTGAACCTACACCCTGAGCCCGAAGCCCCAAGCCTCAAACTATTTCAGGTTTCTGGTTGGGGGGGTGTCGTGCTTATATTTGAAGTCCTTTTCTTCGGACCTAGAACCGTTCCACACTCAGCCAAGTCTCTGTCGCATAGCTTGCTCCGAAAGGTGGGTGCTGTGGAGGTCTCTATATACCTCAGTCTGCAGACTCTTGAGCCCCGGAACCCCACCCTCTGAAGGCGTTAACATAAAACCTAAACGATGAAGCCCAAGTCGCCATGTGCGGAGTAACAGCGGCAGCTACGATGGCAACTGCAACAACAAGGAGCATCGTCGGCAACGGGAGTATTTCCGCTAGGGTTGGCAGTGCACGGTGGTGGTGTTGATGGCAGGTGCAATCCCTGTCGCGGTCGCAGAAGAGGTAACGGTGCAGCAGCACTCGGAGTAGTCGTCGTGGTGGTGGCGGTAGCAATACTAGTACAATAGGGTGGTGGCGGTGGCGGTGGCGGTGGCGGTGGCAGTAGTCGTCGCCGCCGTCGTCGTGCTGGTGGCGGCGGCAGCGGCGGTGGAGGTTGGAGGTGGAGCTGGTGGCGGCGGTGCAGTGGCTACGGTTGTAGCTGTTACTGGCTGAAGCAGCAGCTTCAGCAGCTGCAGCAGTCGTAGGTACTGTAGCGGAAACAACCATACAAATCACAACAAGACTGCGTTGGCAGCTGCAAGCCGGAGTATCCGAAATGGCAATCACAAGGGTCAAGACCCTGCAGCAAGACCGGGTAACTTTCGCCGGGTCGCGCAGGGGAGGTTCAGGGAGAAGAGCGTGGACGACAAGGACACAAAGCAGATATATCTATCAAAGATGCCAGAGACCTGCCGGCTTCGATCTTCCACTGTGTTTTTATATGGGCTTTTGGAGCAAGGCTCTGAATAGCAAACTTGAAACATTGAATATGCTCTGAATTATTCCTGGCGTCAGCTTGCTTGTAGCCCTGGATTCAAGCATCCATGCACTCTAAATCAGGTTCGGCTCGAAGCTGAAGGGAGCTTCGGATGAACATCGTCGGAATATCCACCGGATTCGCGCTGTGGGGTTTTCGGGGCGTTGAGGTATGGCAAGCTATAGCTGCTAGCTGCTGAATCCGCCCTACCTATGACTCCACCTAGGATGTTGAGAATTGAGGGCTTGCGGCTCTAAAGTACCAATTTCTCGAAATTCCCGCACGTTGCTGCAGCTCGCCCCGGCGAAGACCAGTCACTAGACAGATCACTCGCCCTGAAAACAGAGTAAAAGTTCTCTCATCAGTTTTCAGGTTTAGAGTCTAGGGCCCTAAACCTTCAACCCTACAGGAGCGAGCTGGGGCGTACTTTTCTTGCACATTTCACCCAAAGACACGACAGCCCCTCCCGTTGGGGAAGCTGAAAGCTCTCTTCACTTCACTTCTTTATTTGGCCTCAGGACCTAGGAAACAGAACAGGCTTTGAAGGCAAAGTAAGCAACACCATGCAAGGACGGTAAAGGGACATGAGCTCCAACGCTGCTCTAGTCTCGCAGCCCAGATCTGAACGAAAGCAACGACACCAAACTGTCCTACCAGTCCCTTGTTTTATTATGGGCAAGGCCATCTACCACTAGCTCTTGAATACAAGCCCCTAACAAAACGATACCCTAACCGATACCCTAACCATTCTGTCTAGCCGTTGGGAGACCCGGCAGCTCCCAGTCTCGGAAAATCGCGCACATTTCGGACCCGAAACGTAGACACTCCATAGTCGGCTCCCTCATGATCCTCATGTAAGGACCCCGGAAAGGAAAGCAGATTGCCTTCAAGAAACCCTTTGTGAAGGCCGTCTTAAACCCCAAACGAGTGACCACAACGTGTTGGCCTGTGCAAATAGGTGCTGTGAGGGTGCCAGGACATTGAAGGGCGGGTTGAGCTGAAGAGTTTCATTTGCAATGAGGAGCGGGGTGTGGAGGGTTCGTGGCTTGAAACCCAAAACCCTACACCCTAAAGGCGTTAACAGGTTTAAAGCAATGCTTCCCCGATTGCTCAAACATCGTCGTTGCACCTTCTGGGCTCCACCCGCTTCCAAGGCATTCTTGGCCAGATCTTCTAGCAAAGGCCTTCTCAGACGGTTTAGGGTTTAGGGTTTAAGGTTTAGGGTTTAGGGTTCGACTGAACAGTTTCAGGACGGAGCGTTTAGTATATAAGGCAAGGTGATAGGACACACTAGCTTTTGCGCACATGTTCAGCCAGTTCAGAATTCAAGGACCATATGGTTCCGTGTATAAATACATACATACATACATACATACATACATACATACATACACACATACATACATACATACATACATACATACATATATATATATGTGCACATATACATATACATGTGTGTGTCCATATCATATACATGCACACGTAACTGTATAACGGTATAAGCATATGCATCTGAGGATTTATGTCTATGTGGATGGGTCTGTGTATGCATGCATGCATACATACATACGTCCGACCATCCATGCATTTTTGGCACTTGCACTCCAGGAACTCAAGCGAGCATCCGTGCATACATCCACACGTACATACATTACACATGTTTAAGGTTTCCTCTACAGCTGCGTGCCCTCAACCCTGACTGTTATATTGTTGAAGAAAGTGCGATGGGTCCTGACGCCTGGAAGCATGGTTATGGAGCACAAACCGCATCATATCACCCCATCGTCAGATACGGAAATCCTGGTCAGCGATCATCTGCCATGCTGCCACTTTGCTCACAAAACCTTTGCAGACCCGCTATAGAACCTCTCTAGAACCCGGCCACCAAAGCGGTTTTACAGCACTGGAAAACTAGAACTCGCGACACCGAACAAACCACGAAGTCGAAGTCTTGACGCTGTCCTCGGGACGGCGCTAGCGAAGTTCACCTCAGAAGCAGATGTTGAAGGGGTTTTTTGCTTGTGATGTAAGGCCCTGGTAAGTCTAGGGCTTTCTCCATCTAAGGTTTAGGGCTAGGGGTTGATGAAAAACCCTCGTGGATTTGTGTCAGTGAAACCTTTCTAAACGCTTCGTCAGGGTTGTGCAGGTTGATACATGAACCCCGGCGGATCCTTGCAAACCAGCATGCAGAAGCAGCTCTGGAGATCCTCCCCTGCTCAACACGAGCGGTCGATGTTAATCCGAAAGCTTCCCTGCCACGTAGGTTACAGAGCCCTCTTGAACCTCTAGAACTAAGGAGCTAGAGGGCTTCGGGTTCAGGGTTTCTCTGCAACCCAAAGCACATCCCCTTTCATGGAATCGTGGACATCCACCTATGCGAACATATGGAACCCTATTATTACTACTACTATTATTACTATTATTACTATTATTACTATTGTTACCATTATTGCTATTATTACTATTATTACTATTATTACTATTGTTACCATTATTGCTATTATTACTATTATTACTATGATTACTACTTAGAATGGTGTTTTCTTAGGGGCGAAAGGCGGGGATGGCCCAGGATCCGATTCGGGGTTCTTTTTTTGGAGGTCCGGACATTCCCTTTGCAGATCGCGTGCCTCTCTGGGCTTCGTGAGGATTTCATTTCATAAGAAGGATCTTCTTTGCAAGGGTTTTACGACGGTTTCGAGTTTAGAGCATTGGGATTAGGGTTTCGGGATGAACACATAAAGTTCACGATTTCGGGTTGCGATGCTGCGCATCGGTAATCTTTCGCTGTGGTTTTGCAAACAACTGTTGATTTCCAGGCCTTTCTCACTTTCTTCAATTTGGGCCTAGGGTGTAGGACTTGTTTTGGGGCAGGCCTCTTGTTTGACCTTTCTGTGCGGAGGCTCCCTCATACCCTTCTGACTCCTATAAACTATAAACCCTCCTGGTACCCTGAACCCTAAACCCTAAACCCCGAAACCCCTAAATCCAAAAACCCCTAAACCCCTAGACCCCTAAACCCTAAACCCCTAAACCCCTAAACCCCTAAACCCCTAAACCCCTAAACCCCTAAGCCCCTGGACCCCTAAACCCCTGGACCCCTAAACCCCAAAACCCCTAAACCCCTAAACCCCTAAGCCCCAAAAACCCCCAATTCCCCTAAACCCCTAAGCCCACCGTGAAGCCTTCTTGAACCACCAGGTCCGATCTGAGGCTCCCACGTAGCAACTTTCGTACAAGTTCTTGGAGAGATCCTCCGGGGAGATACCCCTTAGGGTTTAGGCTTTAGGGTTTTTGTTTCCCTCCCACTTAGCAAGGACGAGCCCGCATTGCAGGGTTGGTTCGGAAAGACAGCCGACTACAGGATTAGGGTTTGGGGTTTAGGGTTCAGAGGCAGGGCAAAAACAGACAGCTTTGGAGCTGCAGTGGCGTTTAGGCTTTTTTCCTCCTATACTATAGCGTTGAGTTTTAGGGTTTAGGGTTTTTGTGGTTGAGGGTTTTGGGGCCGTGGGTTTCGACTCAAGGCTTTCCGGTTGTGAGTCGGGAGAATAAGCTGGGAAGCAGCAAGGCAGCCACTGCCAAGTGCAAACCCGGCTCATACGGCAAACCCAGGGACTCCAAGATCTTGAACAGCTTTGGCAAAGAAGCTCATGACACAAAGGCGAGAAAAAATGCAATGCAAAACATACTTCCAAGACCAACAGCAGCAAAAAAGGCAAACGGCTGCAGAGTCCTCCGCGATCTTGGCGATGTTCTTCTCGGTCGGCTCGACGAAATATACCTATGCTCTCTCCTAGAAGCCTTCATTCACCGTTCTTGCTATTGCCACTCTTGTCACGAGTCCTACGGCTCTCGCGCTTAACTCTTCTCATTGTTTGAAGTTGCAGTGAGAAGTAGGTGGCAGCATTGGCTGTAGCACAACTTCCAGTAGGAGCACTACAGATGTTGAAGACGTGATGGTGTCCATGGTCGGTGGCCCGACCCATTTACTCCGAGGAGCAGCTGGCACGTCTGCCACCGGTAACCGCTCGCTGTTGATGTTCAAATGCAGGGTCACCTCAGCATGTTTAGCAGCTTTAGGCTCAGGGTGGGGGGGGGCAAAAAAGAGTTCATGCTCCCTGTGAGGACTTGTCCCTTCATCCCTAAAAGGCCTACTCCATAGAACTCGGGAAGTTATCCCCAAGTAAAGGCTGATTTCAATGGGACTCTCGGCCCCCAGGGCTTTCAGATCCTCTGAGAAGAGCCAAAGCGTCGCCGTGGTTCCGCAGCCCGCCAACCTTCAGCAGTTGAGCCACGACCTCCTGGAAGGCAATTTTTCCTTCTCTGGAAGGCAATTGGGTTTAGGGTTTAGGGAGCATGCAGGGAGAAGCTGTGGGAGATTGCTTGAAGTACAAGGCTTAGAACTTGGGGTTCATGGTCTGAAATGGGAGTACAAGTACGGGGAGCGGGCCACTCTGTGCTGAGACGCTGAACCCGAAACCCAACACTCTTCCTTCGTCTGTGGCGTGTCTCTGACAGAAAGCATGACGCCCCGCAGCTTGAAACCTGAACTGTCAGACAAGCCCTTCCAGGATATAGAGCTGATGCCTACGATTCGGAGTTTTACAGTCTCGACCTTTTTGGGGGGCATAGGATCGCCTGGCAGAACTTGTCGTACACCAAGACCTTCCAGGTAGAGGCCGTGGCAAACGTCTGATCTGCTGCTTCTCCGAGGTTCAGCATGCGCAGCCTCAGGGATTAGGGTTTAGGGTTTAGGGTTAGGGTTTAGGGTTTAGGGCCTCAGGGAGCTTCTGAAGGCCCTGCTATGACCATGGTAGTACATCACAACATAGCATTGTATGTTATCTTGGATTATGGAATGTTGAAGTATGGCCTACCCGCAAACTTCAACACCCCGTACTCGAGTGGGAATCACACCACAAGTTGTCCTTATGATGAAAATGATGCTCATCATCGCCATCACGCTTTCCATATCCCCAACAAGAACCATCTTGCTATGATCATGCCTGCCACTATCACCAAGAATGCCCACTGCAACGATAGTGCGGTTGAGAATATTGCCAATCTTCTCACTACCATTCGTGTTCTCACTGTTGTTGCTATCCGTGTGTACCATAAACTCCTCCTTGTGTGATCTGTTGTGCTACGGCGCCGTAGTCAGAGCCAAGGCACACGGCCGCTTTCTGCAAGTCCAGGATGCCTTGAGCCATCCTCCGGAGTCCGGGTTCTCTGGGCTTTCCCAGGTGTTTTTTAGGGTTTAAAGTTTAGGGGCTGGGGGTTTTGGAGTTTTCCGGCTGGTGCTTGGCAGGGAGCAAAAAATCCCCGCTGTGGTCCCTTATCCACGAGTCTTTGGGGCCGCATCAGGAATTATGCTGGGGATCCGCACCAGCCAGTTTTGGGTTCAGGGAAGCCCCCAAAACAAGCAGGAAGTGAACAAAAAGAAGATGAAAACTTCTGGAGGATTCTAGTTAAGGCTATGGGTTCAAGGATAAGGGATTCGGGTTTAAGGCTCAGGGCTTAAGGTGCTGGACTAATCTGAATTCGAAGGCATTGGCAGTGGAGGGGCAACTGCTACCTGGACGCACAGTTCAAGCAGTACACAGGGCTGGCAAGATGGGCCATCGGGGCATTCGGGGCGAACAAAGAAGACTTATTCGGTTTGAAGTTAGGAATGCAGAATCTGAGCGTCCTGGGATTGTAAGCTGCGCAAGCCTTTGTGTTGAGTTTCTGCTGCTTCCGGGCTTGTGGGGGGCCAATGCTTCGCTACTTTTGAATTTTGACTAAGATTCTGCCAAAGCCGGAACCATGGACCCTAAACCCTAAACCCTAAACCCTGAACCCTGAACTCTAAACCATAGCCCCTCACATGCCTCACAAAGACGCTGACTTGTCAGGTGGCTTCACCTACAAACTTCAGGATGCCGAGCATCCTCGGCATTACGACCCCCTTTCTAGCTGGGCAATGCCACAGAGAACCTGCAATCCTCGAGACCGAAAGACACCACTCAGCAGGACAGTCAACGCCGAGTAGTTTGAGGGGTTTGAACCCTTGCAGGTTTCGGGCTACAGGGAACAAACCCTGGACTTCAGAACTGCGCCTGGACCCTCGGCCCCGCGCCCCACTCAGAAAGGGGGCGACAGCTTGAGCTAATAACGCTGCGCATGACACAAGGCTCAACCCGAAATCCCAGCACGGCCGCTGACTGCTTTTCTGCTTTGGGGCTGCAAGACAGTTCACAGTGGAAGCTTTTGGTGCTCGGATTTGCATGACGAAGGGTCCACGGGGGTGCCGCGGGGGGTTTAGGGAGGCGCATGCCGTGGACACAAAATGCAGTCTCATGATTTCGGGCGAAGGATTCGGATTTGGGACGAGGCCTGCGGCAGAAGGGTTCTGGGTTCAGAGCTTGGGTCTACGCTGAGGGTACCTACATATCCGACCCACTTGCGCAGCTGCTCCCGTAAGCCCCGTACGAAGTGCTTCGTATACCGAAGCCTACAGTAAGCCTACAGTACTGGGCAGCGCAACTTTGGCAACAGGGGCAACAAGAACGAGAACTCTGATCGTAAGGTGCGAAGGTTGAACTACAGACACGTGACAGGAACTCGCAAAGCCGCCGTGCCAATGCAGTTGAGAAACGCTGAAGCGCCAAACCCCGAAACTCTAGACACACACACTGCTGCGCGTCAAGCCTCCACGACGCGAGGATGGACACAGCTGAGCTACGGACCCCAGTCGCCCTACCACGGCAGTTGCACCTGGGATCGAAGTTGCAGCTTTGCACACCGCAGCCCCAAAATTCAAACGCTGGGCCTCCGACCAAAGAGCGCCTGCGTCGTCGCTAAGCAAAGGGGGACCAATGCCTCAGTCTTGGGACATGCTGAACGATGGTTCGGATTTCAGGGAGCACTAGGGCTGTCGGGGCCTTGGTGCACATGCAACCGCCTGCATTCGCAGCGCATGCTGCAGATTGCTTCTAGGAGCTTCCAACCCGTCCCGCTTGCTCCACCAACTGGGGATGCGGCCATTGCGCCCAGATCCACGCAGTGGACAGGCCATTACGTGGTCGAGCTCTAACGCTACCATTCGAAACCCCGTCTCCATGCAGGCTACATCCTTGAAAGTGCATCTGGATAGCACCTGCCAGGGTTCTTGGCGATTCTTGAGCACAACTTGTCGAAGGATCCTACATTTCCATGGTCAGAATTGCCACCATCCCTGCCAGCTGTTTGCCACAACATGCGATCTGCCCAACGCCGGCATCACTGCATGCGCATGTTTGACAGCCAGTGCTGCTATGCTCATACACAATACACACCAGACCCCGACAAACAACACCCGACATGACAAGCCTCTTGCAATCCCAAAACCTTTAGCCTGAATCCCCACAACACACTACACACGCTTACGCTAATTAAGCGGGCGCGCACAAGTTTTGGCCACGCAGCACTGCCGCGATCGCATCCTGCGGCCAAATCGCATTGCCGAAGGAAGGCTACGCACAAAACTAACCATACAGGTGACTATTGCGTGGTGATGGTTGTTGGTGGCGGCGCCGGCGGCGGTGGTGCAAGGTCAGCTAGCCATAGTAACAACATGAAACGAAGCAGCAGCGAGGAACACGACAACTCCATCGGTCATCTTGATTTCTGGCAGGGCTTGGTCCCAGTGACCCAATCGTCACAAAAGTGGCTCAGAGCAAGAAAGTTAGACCATATCTTGCCTATTCAAGCATATGGCACCGCGCCTAGAACCACCCCCCCCANNCACACACCAAATTCCCGTTGTCCACTCAGTTTTCCCAAAAACTTTTTCTAACAGACTTCGCGACATCTACTCGTCCAATTGCTCCGGTGTGAGGAAAAGGTTCATAAGCATACCATAAGAGTGGGAAAATGAGATTAATTCGTAATTACTTTCGCTAAATCTTAGGGAATGCAAATCTAAATCTGTTCATAAAGATTTTTTGCAAAGAGTTTACCGTATAATCTGAAATATAAAGTCAATAACAGTGAGTAAGATACTAGTAGGTTTTGATGCATATAGTGCACCAGAGTCAACATCGTTAGAAAATGTTACCGGTGTAAGCAAGTCAAGGCCATTAACTAGTTGAAGCGAACATACGGTGTCAGTAAGCACCCTGGCAAGTATGCTAAATACACCTTGACTTGTTCTGAAATGCTTGGATAAGTCTGTCAAGAATCAATGAGTGCACATTTTCCGTTAGAACTGCATTCTTTCGAAAACACTTCAAGATAAATCACCATTGCATTTAGAGATATTGCGCTATTAATGTAGTAGTTGTAAATTTGTCAAACATATGGATAAATTTGGATGGCTTCACAACATGCAAGTGGCGCCATGAATCGAAACGACGATACCGTGCAAGGATTACGGATAATGTTGTTACATGTCCATTTTGTAATACGAAATAAAGGTATACAAACAAGCCCAACAGGAAAGGCCACAAACGCACCAGTATTTATTTGCAAAAAGCTAGACGATCCAGACTTTGAGAAAGATGGTCCCAAAGCAGACAAGATCAGAGTGCTGATGGCAAAGAACATTGCATGTGTAATAAATGCAATTCAGGAACGATGGCCTGTATGTGGCAAGACACTTTAACAAACCACTGTGTTTGAAACCAACAACAGCATAGTTATAATGCAATTATAATGCATACGAAGTTTTTTATATATTTTTTTATAGTTCCATTAGAGTTACAACCCTTAACGCCAAACCCTGAACCAAATTCTACAAGACCCCCCTTGCCGAGTTAGGCGGATGGCACCTAGATAGATGTAGGTATTATTCCTAGGATGGCAACTTAGGTTGGGATCTTCGGGTGTATTATCCTAGTATTCGGGCTGAGATTTTAAGATAGATTTCTATCCTAGGGTGGGGGGTGGGGGGAGCAGCATTTTCTATGAGGTGGACTTTGTCATTGTTCGGGTGGTGAGGTTGGTTTTGGTTCTGGTAGGGAACCTAATGTAGAGATCTACCCAAATGGTGCTGCGAAGGCTTCCTTTGTCGGTGGCGGCAGCAAGGAAGGTCGATCGGAATCGATCCTGGCATCGAGGAGGTCTTCACTTCTCCTCGCGTTGGCTTTTAGCTTTGCGTCTTGACGCTGTGGGCTCGGGGTTAAGGGTTCTCGGTCAATGCTAGACCACGCAATATCCCTTTACTGAGAACTACTCCGAAATGAAAGCAGGGGTGCTGATTAACATATATTAGAGTCTTTGACCACTCCAAATGAAGCCCCGCGTGCGTATGTATGTGTATGCATGTGTATGCATGTGTATATGCAGGTGTATGCATGTATGCATGTATGCATGGATGCATGGATGCATGTATGTACGTATGTATGCATGCACATACACATACACATATACGCATATACACATATACACATATACACATATACACATATACATATATATATATAGAGAGAGAGATAGATAGATAAATAAATAAATAAATATGTGTGTGTTTCTATATCTATATTCTACATATGTATATATATATATACACAAATAAAGATATAAACATAGACACGGTATACACGCACGTACATGTAAGGCATCATCTTATCCGAAACATGCTGAAACACACAAAACGCATCCCAAACCTCTCCGCCCAAGGCCTGAAGCTCTGAAGGGACCCGAAAACGTCTCCCCGCTTTCAGTTTTCGGGATTTGGGTCTTGCTCAAACGTCCGCCCCCTTGGAAGCCCTCGAGCCTACACTGGCCTAAGCCCAAACAGTGGCTTCAGGCTACAGGGATTCAATGGGTTTAGGGTTTAGGGTTTAGGAGGCTACAGGGATTCAATGGGCTCCCGAATCTCCACCTTACGCCTTCCAGACTAAACAAAACGCCTGGTCTATTTCGCAACGAACAGAAGCCCCCCTAAACCGATGCCCCGGAGCGTCCTGAAGCGCAGATCTAGGACATCATCCCTCTTCTCGGCAGACAAGTGTGGAGCCAACGGCACTTGTATCCTGGGCTCGGCTAAGCTCGAAGCGCTTCAGAAAACAAAAACGCTCTGAAAAGCATCGGATCTTCGCTACACAAAGGACCCACGCTCATTGAGAAGACCCTAAGATACACCTCAAAATAATAGGGGTGCCCTGATGAAGCGCCTTTTGAAGAGGATGAAGCTGTAGGCTGTCTGTGGGGCTGCAAGGTAAGCAGATGTAGTGGCTAGGGTTGATATTGTTATTGTTGTTAGAGTGCTGTTTTTCTCATGCCGGGGCAGACAAAAAGTGTAGAGCTCCAAGTTCCAACCTAAACGATACTTACTGAATAGGAGTCGATGCCTGCAGAAGGCTTGCCCTTGCATAACTCGACAATGCTCTTGGGGGTGTTTGGCTGCAGTGCAGCCGAACAGAAGTCCTAGTTCGCCTCATGTCAATGCCAGAGGCTTTGTTGAAGGCCTCGGGATGTTGAGCTCTTTGGTGCACTAGAATTCGCCCAGCGGCGGTGGTGATGCTGTGACATTCGGCGGCAGTTCCACAGGGCTTGCAGTCCGCTTGCTGCCTCTGAGTAGGTAGTTGTAGCCAGTGTGGTCGTCGTGCAGCGGCAACGGCAACAACGATGAGAATTAGTCACTCTTGTTACGACTGTTACGAGTGCCTCCTGCAGCTGCTACGATGACGACGACGGCGAACACGGCGATCACCACAGCGATCAATACCAACAGGACGACCGCGATGACCGCGACGACCACGACCACACAACAACAAGCACAACGACGACGACCATGACGACGATTGCTGAGCATCCCTTAGAAAATTGTCCTCTGTTCCTACACACTGCTTTCTTCAATGGCCATGCGGACAGTCATCATTAACTATCCAGCCGGTAGACGAGGGATGCCCCTTCATGGCTGTATGTGGCCATATGGGGTGTTCTTGCTGAAGGTATTCTGAGTTTTCTGTAAATTTTCTTTCCGGGTGTACGTACATAAGTATGCATGTATGTATGTATGTATGTATGTCTGTGAGCGTGTGTGTGTGTGTGTGGGTGTGGGGGCGGGTGTGGGTGCGGGTGCAAATATATACATATATATATATACATACATACACACTCACCAATCAATAAATATATATATATATACATACATACATACATACATACATACATACATACCGTAGTTAGCATCAAGTGTTGTGGTAACTCCCTTTGCTGCTTGACCCGGCTGAAATGAAAACAAATCCCAACGAAAGGCCTCTGACAAAAAAACACCTTGCACCGAACCCTCTTTGCAAAACCAAGCCCTTAACTGTTTCTTAAGCAAAGCTTATGACTCGACTGAGCTGCCGATGTTGGTGTGTAGGGCCTTATCGGTGTCATAGTGCTTTATATAGGGCACTTAATACCTAGCTCGTTAAGTCCTCATTCAAGAAATACTTGGAAAAATATAGCATAGTTCCCCCGCCTAATCTGAATTATGGCTTCAACACAAAACCCCCAACTCTCAGCCCGACCCTAAACCCTGAATCCTAATCCTTCAACCGCTCCTTCAAGCTGCAAGCTTAAACCCTTCATAACCCTGACAAACCCCTCTATCACGTCGTTTGTTATTTTAGGATAACGAGGTCTGATGTCTAAGTTTTTGTGGAGTGACATGCAAGCTAAAACCCTGGACCCTAGAATACCCTAACCCCATTCCACCCTCACCGAGTCGATGGCCGGAACGGCCGACGGGGATCTGCGCAATGGTGGGGCTGGGCCGGGAATCCCCAAGCCAGGCAGAGACGCGAGGATTGCCTTGTGCTGTGGTTTAGCTTAGGGCTCTACAGGGGCGTAGGGGTTTAGTGGATTGGGGCCGATTCACGGTTTAGGGCGCTGTTTTGGATGTGTTTAGGGGTTTGTTTAGTTCCTCTCTAAGTCCTCAGATGGCACTGTATCTATGGTCAGCCGCACCCAAGGAAGAATGAAGGCATTCCCACATCCGTACTTTCGAGGGTACCCTTCGGTTTGCAGTCGCTAAGGCTCAAGAGACACAGATGCATCTAGGGTTTAGTCTAGAGTTTAGGAATTCACCATATATCGAAGACGGAAGGTGGCACATGGTCTGCAGCTTGGCAGCTTCAGCTACGAGCTCAAGGTTCGGACTTGAGGGTCTTCGGGTTTAGGTCTTTAGCGCTTGAGGGTCTTCAGGTAGAGGTGGTACAGGAGTAAAGGGTTCGCTTCGCCTCCCACAGGCGCAGAATGCCCAGGCGAGGACGCAAGTCTCACGATCACATCTAGGACCTAGTAATTCCACAACAACACGTTTTGCAAGGCCAGGCCCAGACAGTAGTTCATGACAACGAGCGAATGATCACAGAATGTTGTTGCTCAAAGCTGTGCGAATGCTCTTGTCTGTGATATCCTTCCAGAGCAGCAAAGCACTCCGCTGGAGGCTGCATTCTTGGCTTGGACGGCCTATTGCAGCAAGCCGACGATGTCGGCATGACCCCTGGCAGACGCCGCAATCAAAGGTGTTTGCCCGCAAGTGTCTGCCACGTCCTTGTTGGCGCCAGCTTCGAGCAACAAGCGCACGATCCCGACATGACCTCTGACAGATGCCACAATGAGAGGCGTGCGCCCATCGTCGTCAGTGGCATCCTTGTCGGCGCCGGCCTCCAGTAGCAAGCGGACATTCTCGACCAGACCTTCGACGTTAGACGCGGCAATCAAAGGTGTATTCCCTTCGTAGTCTGCCAAGTCTGGGTCAGCACTGGCCTCAAGCAGCAGGCGGACGATCTCGACATGGCCCTGGGAGGCCGCCGCAACCAAAGGTGTGGTGAACCATTCGTTGGCTCCTTTGTCCTTGTTGGCGCCAGCCTCAATCAGCAAGCGAGCAATCTCCACACGACCGTTGAACGACGCCTCAATCAAAGGTGTGCTCCCTTCGCGGTCTGCCATGTCTCTGTCCGCACCGGCTTCAAGCAGCAAGCGGACGATCTCGACATGGCCCTTGACAGTCGCTATAATCAAAGGCGTGTACCCTTCGCTGGCTACTTTGTCTGGATCTTGGGGCAGCTGCAGCATGCGCTCGACGTCGGCCAGCGAGCCCATCCTCGTCGCGATTGCGAGGTCGTCCATCGGCGATCCGGAAAGGTCGGCGAATGGCAGCACCACGAGATCCAGCTCCATGGATGAATCCAGCATGACCGTATCCTCCAAGTTCTCGCCGTGGTGCAGGAGCCTCTGTCTGAACCGTGGGGGAAAGCCGTGCAGCTCATTCAAACACTGCTTCAAGCCTCTGATGTCGCGAAGCTCCTCCAGTTCCTCGCCAGCTATGTCCGCCACCTTCTCTCCTGAGATCCGTCGGATCTGCAGCATCAGGTCGGAATGCTAGAACTGGAAACCTGTTTCTAATCAAAAACTGGAAGGCGCAGAATGGACCTGTTGAGCCAACATGGTTTGCTGGCGAATTGCATGCTAAATTCTCAAAGCCCTTTTTTCATCTGGTCTCACCCGAAAACATTCGGCAGCCCGCGTACCAAAACCCAAAACTCCAAATCCTAAACTCGTACACCTTACAACCCTGGGTCCAGCCCCCAGCGTTTCCCTCCCGTCGCTTCAAGTTGGCGGCGGTCACGGGGCCTTTACTAGAATAGAATGATGTTCGAGGTATATTGTTTGAACAAAAGGAACCCACAGGTTTTGCTAAGCAACCATCAGGAGTAGTATTACAGATTTTTCAGACCCCTTCCAAAAATCATGCTCGCCCCCTCGCCCTTATCTGCGAACCACGAACACTCCTGAACAGCCGATGAGGCGTGCATTGACTTGCATGACATCTTCAGGCACGAACGACTGGGATATTGGTGTTTCTGAAACGAGGGGTATTTCAGTTGATGTGCCTTTTTTGAGGATCAGATTCTTTCGGCACACTATGGCACACTGGCTAATCTTTTACTTTAAGACGCTACCCATAGCGCCATTATGCGTGCTTTTCTCCATCTGGCAGCAGGGCCAAGGGTGCAGGTGTTGGGATTCGATGCTCGGGGTTGAGGGCAGCCCCTTTCAGACATAGGGCTTCGGGTTCTTTGGGAGGGCTAGTGTTCCAGAAGGTAATCAGGAACGGAATGGAAGTGGCACTGCTCCGATCAGTGCAGCTGCCAAATCACCGTGCTTATGGCCCAACCGCAGTACTCCACACCAAACCCTGAACCTCAAAGAAGAGATCAGTTGCAGGGCGTGGCATCGCCGATGAGCAACCTTGTCCCGGGCGCAACATTCTATCAAGGACATGCCAACGACTCTTGGGGCTCAGGCTCAGGAGGCAAGTTGACCAAAATATACTACAATCTATAATGTACTCAAGTCTACTGACATGTACCGTCGTATAAACCCCTTTTTTGAAGCACGGACTTGCAGGGTATGCCGGCCCCCTAAACCCTAAACCCTTTTGGAACGAGGTCTGGTCTCTCTGAACCCTAAACCCTAAACCCTAAACCGTAGATGCCATAACAGCTTTGGGGCTCAAGACCGGGTCGAGGCTTTTCGACGATGGCGACAAGCTCCCCAAGCGCCATGCCCGTCTGGAGCCCTAAAGCCTGGAACCCCAGCAATAACCACAACCCTGCTGATGATAGCGTTAACTTCAATCAATCAATCAATCAATCAATCAATCAATCAATCAAATCAATCATAACAATAATAATAATAACAACAACAACAACGATAATAATAACAATAAGAATAAAATACTAATAATAACAATTATAACAACAATAACAATAATGACAACAGTAATATTAATAACAACAGTAATATTAACAACAATACGTTGTAAGAATGTAGGAATACCCATGCTAATGGTGACGTTGGAGTCGACATTGCCCTGAAGCCTCAAGTTCTTAACCGCTGCCTCCAAACACCCCCCCACCAAATACCTGGTCTATTCTGGTATGCTACAATGTTGTACTATCGTATGCTACAATTCCTTGCCCTAGATTAGGTATATTATGATTATTAGTATCATTATTATTTGTATTTTTTTAATATTATTATTATTCGTATTAATATTGTTACTATGAACTCAAAAGCACCTGAAAAACCTGGGACGGTCTCGGACCGAGGTTTCTGGTCAGTCGGAGGTCCGGACCTCCCAAGGGCCCTGCAACAAATCCCAGCTCTCTCCAGCGGAGCTTTTGAGTTTCAGCACGCCCTCCAGCGACGTCATTTATGGGAGGAGATCGGAAGGAAAGCATGCCTGGAAAGCTAGAAGCCCAAGTACAGCGGTTTCTTTAGGGTTGTCGGAATTTTTGAAGTTTGGGGGGGCCGACAGGAAGGTTTCGAGAGAGAGCAGTGGCCACAGGCAGGACCCAAGAGCCCAGTAAGCCGTTGCCCTGCACTCCGAACCCTGCCATCGACGGCCAGGCAACTGCCAGGCGGCAAGGCAGTGCTCCGCCTGAGCCCGGAAAGCCCTGCGCCATGAACCTTAAAAACCCCAGACCTGAGCCCCAATCCCCCACCTTTAAACCACCCCCCCCCAAAAAAAAAATTAAAAGCCCTGTGAGCTTCAATGCCTAGAGACCTTGGGAGTTGTTGAAAGCCTAGAAAATTCTCGATGACCCAGAGCCCAAGCCCAAAGCCCGCCGCCCTGAAGCCCTCGTGAGCCCCCCACTCTGCCCAAAAAAAGATTCAGGGCTCCCAGCCTTGGGGCTGTAGGAATTCTAAGATTATGGGTTTCGGGGCTTCAGGAGTCTGAAAGTTGGCTGGGGGTTTGAAGCTCGAAGGTAGTTTCACAAGCGTTTGAGGGGTTAGGGCCGAAGCCCGAAACTCGAAGGCTTGAGAGATCAGCAAAAGCAACAAGAGCAGCATCCAACCCCGGGAGATCTGGGAACCTCAACCTGAAGCAGGTGCCCGCGACTTTCTGAAACCCCCAGATCATCCTCCCATCCCAACTCGGCCTTTGCCAATTCGGCGTTCAGGCACGCCAACCTGGCATTTCGACTCGCACACTCACTCAACGCGGGCAAGGCCCCACGACGACGTGTGTAACTTCGAATTGCAACAACAGCTCTTAGTCCAGGACACCCATCATATGTTCATAAGACCTACGCCAAGCCCAAACAACCCGGCAGTCCAAGAGTTCGAGCATGGCCGCAAGCATCCACTCCAAGCCCGACAACACCGAAGCAATGCCCATCAAACTCAACCATTCCTTCTCGCATTTTGGGGGCTTTCGGCACTTGTGGGTTTTGGGATTCGGGATTTGTGTTCTCAAATTTCAATGCTTGCAACTTCCCGGATCCAGAGGCCAAGAACAGCTGGGCGATTTCTCTGCAACCGGATCTTCAGGGCCTGCGCGCACACAGGTTTTGAGGGTTTTTGGGGGTTCAAGGCGCTGCTATAGTCTGCTGGTCAGCTGCTGGTCTTCGCGACGCAGCAACGGACATCTCAAGCTGCAAGGCGACTAACCTATGAACTTTCGGCCCTTGTAACCCCCCAAATCCCCGAACCTTCTGTAAGGCCATAGCAACATCTACACCTCAAAGCCCCTCGGCCCTTTGCAAATCTCGGCGAGCCGGCGTGCCACCCCAAACCACGCAGCCGACGGCCTGCGCCGGGATTCGGCTTGGGATTGCTTTTTGTTGCGTGTCTTTTCCAATCCGCCTGAGCCTTTCAGGGAGCCCGGTAGTGTTAGGAGTTCGCCTTCAACGGCCATGGGTTTGTTTTTTTGCCTCCCCATCACGGTTTAGGGTTTAGGGTTTAGGGCCGGGGGGGTTTAGGACCTAAGGTTTGGAGTTTCAGCTCCCGTGGGGTGTTCCGCAGGCAGAAGGTTTCGAATGGGCCCTGCAATGCACTCCGGATGACGGGACTGGTGATGTGCTGGCGCCCCATGCTTTTCAGCCGCTGTACGTCGCAAGCACAAATTGAAGAGGCCTTTGCTCAAACATGCTGCAATTTCATAAGCTGAAGACATGGTCTGCAGATGTCTTACGGCCAAGTCACACAGAAATGCACCAGATCATTGCAAGTTCCGTACGTCTGATACGAATCCAGAAGCACCACAGCACCCGGTCAAGCACAACCGTGGCACCTCGTCCCCACAGCGGTCCGGCTGTTTCCTGCACTTGGAAACAAAGCAGGACGATGTGACGCCACCACGCAGAGGACCCCGATGCTCACTGAACCGTGAAACAGCTTACGAGCTTGATGCAACAACAGTCCATCTCGAAGTGCCCTTAGCCCCCAAACCGGAGCCAGCACATTCCAGCTCTCAAACACTGTGGACCCTGACAACACTAAGACCCCAACACCGTGAACCCTGTTTCTCTCAGATCCTGTAACACAAGGTCCGTACACATCAAAAGCCACAACCCGCGAAGGCGACGCCACAAGGGAGTGCCACTTTTTGGAGGCCCCATGAACGGTTTAGGGGTTTAGGAGTTTAGGGTTTAGGGTTTGGGGCGCCATGTCCTGGGCTTTGCCAAAGTGCAGACCACTCGCTTGCCGGCAGCCGCCTGCCTCGTCGCGGAGTTGGAAGAAGTGGTTCTGGCTGCTGCTCCCGGCCATGTCGAGTCTCATCGTCAGATTTACCCCTCAACTGTGATTCTTCTAAGGGGCTCGTGCCTTGCTAAATCTACATGGCAGCCCGCATAACCAAAAACCCCGAGTCCAGACAGGGTTAGATCTATCTACGCCAGAATTCTTGGACCTCACGCTGCCCTGCCCACATGTTCAATTCGCATGGAACCAGTAGAGAGGTGCGCGCCTCCCAATGTCCTGCATCCGCTCCAGCAGCAGCCGAGAAGAGGCAGCCACACTGCCTTACGGTTGATGCTTTAAGGTCGTTGTCTTTATAGTGTTTACGTCACCAGTGACATGGCCCTTTGACTCTTTGATCACAGCCAAACCCTGAGACCTGAATCCTTGAGGTTCAAAGCTCACCGACTCGTTGTGCATGACGTCGAGGACAGCGGTCTTTGAAAAAAGTCGGAAAGCTTTAGGAAAGATGGTGGGGCGGAGCTAAATCTGCAAAACGAGGACCCGGAGAGAAGGTTCCCTAAGCCTTAGACTCTAGGCCCCAGGGCCCTTGTGCCGGGCTGTGGGCGCTACCGGGTTCCTCAGGGCGTCTTCCAGTTTAAGGCTGTCGGATCGAGGGCTTACTGCTTTGCTCAAGGCCTCGGGAGAAAGACCCAGACTTCGGAGATGGCAGCAAACAGGTCACAGGTATCGAGCTATCGAGCCTTCACCTTCCTACCAACTCCTACCCAACGGATCTTCTTGCCACCCCTGAGCCGGGATGGAGCGCCGGGTGACAACGTGGCGCACCTCTAACAAACCGAGGTTGAAAAACGCTGACCATAGGGCTACCATGCGAACAGTCTTCAGCACCATCCCCATTTTCCAGGAGTAGAGTTCATGGGCGTAGATCGCGCCTAAGAAACCTTTTACGTCGCAAGGGTCTCTTTTTCCCGGGTGTCAAGGGGGGCCCCTGGGCTTCCTCACACACTGAAGCTTCAAATCAGTTGATATCCAAAGAAAAGGGTTTGAACCCCTACCAAAATCCCCGTCCAAGAACCGGAAGCTCAAACCCCCCCCCCATACCACCGCAAACCTCTAAGTCCCAAGCCCCAAAGCCCAAAAAATCTCTAAGTCCCAAGCCCCCCAAAAGCCTTTTTGCACTAACACTTTACCTATTGTCTCCATTGTAGTTCCTTTTTTTGGTTTAACCAATTCTATATTAAGGATCCTAAAAGGTAACCCCAAAAAGGAACTACAATGGAGACTATAGGTAAACATCCTAAGACCGCCCCAAAGCTGCAGTCAAGAGGCGGGACGCAGAAGCGACCTGCTGCGGCATAGGGTTCCAGGGGTTAGGGGTTTTTAGGGTTTAGGCTCTCACAACTCGGACATGCCAGGCGAGGTTTTTAGGGTTTAGGGTTCAGGGATTTAAAAGGCTTAGGGCCGGCAAAGAAGCCAACCAACGTTGCAGGTTGCAAGGGCTTTTTTGCTCTACAGACACCCGCCCACCCTAGTCACCTGCGGCAGCCGGCTTTGCAGACCCCCTCTCTTGGCTTCAGCTTTCCGGGTCGTCTGCTCTGTGCCCACGGGATCGGCCGACTGCGGATGCAACGAGTTCGTCATGACAGCAACATCAATCCAAAATCACCGAACTGCTGATTTGGAGTTGGGAGTTGTTGCTGCCTGTGGACCTTGGGTCAAACAGGGGATGGCCCTCAACAAAGTTATACAGAGCCCTGACGGGAACCCTCCTGTAGGAGCCTTGAAAGGAACCACTGAAGGAACCTGACACACCACACACATCCGTTTCTGCATCCGGGCTCGCAAAGTCGGGCCAGGCCACACATCCCAAGTCCAAGTCCTGATAGCCTTTTGCCACAACTCTCTCCGGCAGCCCAGGCATCCTCGCCTCCTCAAAGCCCTGAACCTGAAGGCTTCACCCAGGAACCGAAGAAAACCCCACCCCCTTTTTCTGGGAGCAGACACGCGAGACACAGAAACCCCCGCCCCGGAAGCTTCGGGCTTTGGGGTTCGACCTTCGTCTCCCCCTGCACTCTTCGAAGAAACCCGGCACTTGGCGACGGAAATCCCGCAACTTCCGTAGCAAGGCAGCTTGAGGTTGGGATACTGAGCCACCAAGTGGGGGTTTAGGTGTGTGGACTTAGGTGGTCCGTTTAGTATTCAGAAGCCGATAGGGAAACCAAGAACTCCGACGAGTCGCAAGCCGAGGACCCTGAAGCCGATTGCACTGGCCGGCATGGAACCCGAAGACCCGAAGACGCCGAAACATACGCTCCGAGAAGCCTCAAACCCAACCCAAAGGCCCCCGTGTAGTATGTAGTATTCCTTTAAGGGTAGAGGTAGAAGCCCAAAGAAAGCCTATGGCCAGCAGAGCCCTGCCTCCTGCATCTGGATTTCCACGTGCTTCCGCTGATCCTCTGCCGTCTTGATCCTGGGCCAAGCACTGAAACTCCAGGGTTGTCTTGGGAAAGCTTGCCGGAGGTGGGGGGTCGAAACATGGGGGTGGGCTCACTTCATCGGTGAATATGAGCCACGGTGCCCTCTGGAGGCAAACAGTGAAGCTGGCTTCTCAAATCAAGCCAAAAGCACTCACTTCGGTTCGGACTGGCAGACGTTAAGTGCGATGGCACATAACTTGTGCCATCAAAATTGTCTATTGTCAGTTCAGTTTCTGTCTTCAAGCCTGATCGCGTGAGACTACCCACCAGGCTACCCTACCCGAATACGCTGAGGAAAGCTTCCGAAACTTCTCAGCCAGAAACCCCACACCCAAACTCCCGAATCCCAGACCCCTGGCCGAACCCATTCTACAAACCCTGCAACCACCATCCCCTCTCTCTCTGAGGACCCCAAAGCTCGGCAAAAGCCCAGCATCCGCGGAGCCATCTCCTCACGCGCGCGCTGGGCTCCTCCAGCAGCCAGCACCCTGGGGAAATGTTCTGATGCTGTCCCTTTACGTGAAAGTACAGTTCGTATCCATGATGGTAATTTCTGCCCTTTCTGGTTAATCGCCTGCTTGCCATGCCAGCTACAGTGTTGACGTGCTCTCCAACGGACACCGTATGTGCCGGTAGCAAGCCTTTGTACCACGACAAGACTCAGCAGGCTCGAACGCCTCTCGGCCCTGCAAAAGCTGCGCCGTGGTAGAGTGATACCGGACATGCGGTCGGAGCGGCTGCAAACAACGGTACCAGCTGGCAGCACTCTCCACTGCCGCCTCACCACTGCCGAGCCCTTGCAAGAAGTAATGGCTGAAATTGAGCCTCATTCACGGCTTGAGGCTTTGAACACGAACCTCTGCTCGAGGCTCAACGCCCAGGGTTGGAAGTTCAAGGGGCCTGAAGAAGTCCTCACTAAGCTCGAGCTGTCGGCGCAGCACAAATCACATCCGAGCGTCACCAAGGACCGCAGCCCGTGCAGCGTGAAGTCGGCATTCGGGGCCTCGCAGGATTCGACTTCGAAACTTGGCTCAGTGAAGCCTTGCAGAACTACAAAAACCCTAGCTTTAGTTGTCTTACCGGCCAAAGGAAAAGCCCTCGTCAGACTTTACAACCTTAAACAACGATGTCTCGGTTTTTTTTTGGCCTCGCGGAGCTGCTGTGCCGCGGCCGCGAGGTGCTCGGCGGCCGCGAAGCCGCTCAGAGCCTCTGCGGCCTCGACTTCAAGGCTTTAGGGGAGCGGGGAGGCTTTGGGCTTTGGGTTTTTTTTGTTGGTTTTTGGGGTTTTGGGTTGGGATCTTCGGATCCCAGGGCTTAGGGGGTTCAGGGTTTTCAGTTTGGGGTTAGGAAAGAAATCATAGAAGCATCGGTTCCCATGGCCTGAGCCCGAGTTTGGTTGGTTCACAGCGGGGTGCTGAGAGAACCGGAAAAACTACGCCAAAGAAGTTTGACCTCTTGACTTTGGTTGGAACTCATACATGGCTAGCCCCCAAGACAAGACACCAAGCCTATATAGGGGTCGTCAATTTTGTGCACCCGGCCTCGGCAAGGCCGGCAGCCAGACGCAGGCGGAGCTCCTCTTGGCAGGGCTCAAGGTTTTTGTTTTTTGAACGCCTTTTTCCTTCCACAGCATTCAGAATCCGCTCTGGCGGAGGGCCTGAGGCCGGCAACATCGTCACCACCCAGAAGGCTCTGTTCTGCGATCCCAATCCACCATCGCACTTCGAAGAAGCTTACAGTGCTCTCAGAAAAGCCTATGTCGGATCCTCCCCCGGAGCTCTCAGCAAGACCAAGAGCAAGTGAAGCAGAGCGAGCACCCTCTGAATTCACCAATGATCGTCTACAGTTTCAGTCACTACGTTATGCTGACATTCATTTAGCGTACACGAGAACTTAGTGAACATATAATATGATTCTATGGAACAACATCCAAGGTGATGGACAAGAGAAACCATGATGTTATTGCACCTAAAAGCGTGCACGAACAGAGTGAACAAGGGTGATAGGTGTTGAAACTACACTGAATAACGACTAACCCCAGCTAGGGAGTTCACACCCACGCGTATGATCACCCAGGAACCTTCAAAGTCCATGAGAAACGGCATGTAAACCTTATGTTTTGAATGTCTTTAAAGCAATTCGACTCAGAACTACTCATGCTACCTGCGAATAAACTCGGCCCAGCTCTCTGTTTGCTCGCTCTTCGGGGCTCCCGCTCGGCGAGCAGCGCGCTGCGAAGCTCCTCCAGCTCTTTCAAGTCCAGCCCGGGCGCGGAGGCTCCAAGGTCCTCGAAGCTGGGCGGCTGCGTAAGTTTTGGGGTATACGGGTATCCCTAATGTAGGCAACCTTGGGATGTTCGTTTTTGAGGTGCACGTGAAGAGCTCTTACCTCCAAAAGTCCGATGTCCATTCAATCATGCTAGAAGCGAGACCATTGAACCAAAGGTTTTGGACAAAGAGTTCCGGATCCCTGCTGCATACGACAGGGTTTACGGGCGGTGTGTAAAGACAAACTTCTTCAGGAGCGGTTCTACTACACCGGCCTGAATATTTCGACTACGGTTTCGGGTAATACCACGAGGAATAGCATGACTAGCTATTCGGAAGGCAGCAGCCTTGATTTTGTGTGCTTGTGTAGGGTCAAAAATTCTGCATCCGTGAGAGGAGGAGCTAGAAGTGTGCTGGTGGCACAAACACGTCCAGGGCGCCTCCAGCATGGGCTCGGTCACGGGCGCTGTAGACATCGCAGGCAGGCTTCGGCTGGGAGAGTGTCCGGTCTGTGCCGGCTGTGGGGGCTCTGCCTGGGGCCAGCGGGGGATCTGCCAAGGCCCTGGGTCCAAGGCCACCTGTCCCGGACACGGAGCAAAAGGGGCATGGCCCGCATGGCCGTGGGAGCTGCAGCTAAGAGCTCGGCTGCCCGTCCGAGGTGGGGTACTGTAGCTTGCTGCGGAATGGGTGGAGACATTGGCTGAAGATTGTGCGTTGGCAGTAACGGGCTCTCTGATGAGACCCTCCTCGGGCAAAAGCGGGTCAGGCGAAGGCTCCCGAAAGACCGCATCAAGCTTCGCTTGCAGCTGGGACGGCAGGGACGGGCATCGTTCATTGCACGGCCCGGGCCGCCAGCCAGGCGGGCTTCCGACATGCCAATCTGGCGGACGTTCCACCTCGTGGGCGAGATGGGGCATCCTGTATACAGTACTGCCTGGACCACAACGCAGTCACGGCCCAGAATGAAGAAAATTGACACCCCCAAAATGCCCTAAGCGTCTGGTGCCTCTCTGGCTGCCGGCCGTTGAGGAGTCTCGGTGCCCGGCCCGACACCCACGCTGCGCTCTGTGCGCTCAATGCGCTCTGTCCTCTTCGGCATTGCTGTTTTTTTGGGTCTTGGATGTTCGGGTTACTGCTTCATTTGCTCAGAATTTAAGCCTTGCTTCAGTTCTCGCTGCTTGGGTTTGAAGTTTTGACTCTCTCTCTCTCTCTCTCCCCCTCCCGGGCAAGTCCAAACGGGGCTGCTCAACGTTTAGTGCTGAAGGCTTTGCCCTTGCCCTGGCCTCACCCTGGTAGCCTTCCGATGGGCATTGGGCAGAATTATGCCTGCTACAAGTGTGGTGCTTGTGCTGCTTCTATGTCTGGTCTGTTAACAACTTGTTGCAAATGTTCGCAGCGATTAACCTACGATTTTCACTCTGTTACAGCGACTGTCGCTACCGTTACCAATCCCTATGCTACAGTGTTGGTTCTCTTGGTCGCGGCAGCTGTGGTGGAAATTATTATTAGAATTGGGAAGACAAAACGGAAACTTGAAGCATCCCGAAACATTGCGAAACCAATTCCAAGCTCCTTGTTGGAGCCTCAAGGGCTGCCAGCTCCCTGCGCAATGCATCCAACTCGGCACGGAGCTGTTGCTCCAACGGGACCTCTCCAGCTTTGCGGATGTTCGGGGCGAGTTTTCGCAGGTGTTCATAAACACAAAACGAAGAATGGCGTTGCTAGGAGCAGTTCGGCGCGACAATACGACTGGAACCCTTCATGCGAATAACAAGCGCTTTTAGTCTGAAAAAAAACGTACTATTGACTATTGACCATGCAGCTCCAAACTAACACGCTATCGTACAATTGACTTTACTGTTTCGGTCTGTTGTACTTTACTTGCAAAAAAGACACAGTCGCCCCATAAACAGCATGTACTTGGTAAGAACTGACATATCTGTAATGACGATACATCTAGATCTATATTTCTACATGTGAAGATTTCCGTATATGCAAATATTTTCACACGTCACCACACCACAGTTGCGACCGTTACATTGCAGCAGTGCCAAGCTCATACTGCTTGCAGGTTCTATGATCTACGGTTGATGAGTGGGGCCGGTATTAATGCTGAAACACATCTCCCTTTCCCCATGCCCTGTTGCTGCACACGGCCTGATTGGGACGATGAGATTCCGGTGCACGGCTGTCGGATGCCCGTGCAGGAGTTGGACCCGCGGACACCTGCAGGAAGGCTCGGTGTTGTGGACATGTGGACAAGTTTCGCGCATCGTGGCAAACAGCGACTTGTATATGCTGGGTTCACGGAGCATACAAGTGCACTGAGGCGATTGTCAACGACAGACTATGCAGCCGCGAGCCCGTCATTGTCAGGCCCAAGATTTATGATTACGCTCAGAAAGAAGCCGGGACGTGAATTTAAGCGTCCGTCGGTGCCAAAAGAAAAAACCACCTTACTACGGAACGTAAAGTCAGACACGTGACAGTTCCCAGAGTCTCGTGCACGAACTTGGGCCGATCCATACTACCTCGTCGTGGCAAAGCGTGCAACAACAAGTAAGGAGAGAATGATCTGCAAGCATGAAACACGGTGGATGCAAAAGTTGCAATGGACCTGCTTATGTTGATCTGAAAATTGCGCATCCCAATTGCACGTCAACGTTGCTGGAAGAACTTCGGCGGCCCGTGCGCGGCGCGTCCAATGACGGAAATGACATGTCGATCATTCGAAGATCATCCTTCGAACATTTCATTCGTTCATGCACCAGCAGATTATCTTGGCACGTCTTGCCCCACAACATCACAAAACATCTGGGTCTGAGCCAATGCCAATGAAGATGCCCGACGTGATGGCATAACTGCGGTGAGCGACCGACAGGACCAAACAACGACAGATTTGTGGCAACCATGCAGAATCAGCACGGAAAACCAATTATGGAAGAAACAGCTTCTTTGCGGTAATTTGAGCTGGCCTTTGCACAAGTACACCACGCTGAAGCTTCGCCGGACACGGCAGAATCAAAAAGCCGTACCCCCCCTGTGGCAAATCTTGCGGTCTCACCTGATGGTCGCGACGTTCAGGCGTGTACACACACACACACACACGAGAGCCCACGTCAGGGCTGCATTGTTCACGTGAACTGTGCAACACTTACAGGCAACACACAATTACATTAAGTTCTTGGGGCCAATGAGCAGCGAAACCCATGACACATGTGTAGGGAATTAAGATGGTTGCAACGCACTGGTATTCACGTTGGTGGCATTTGTTCATTTAAATGTTGAGTGATGCTCTCGACAAAATGCCGCGGAGGGAGCTATCCATCCACGGTAGGCTGGAAATCTCTCCCCAGCTTCAGTGCTGGATGAAACCTTCCGCAACATCTGCAGCAGTGCTTGTGAAAGGCGCTCTCATCTTTCAGCGGCATTGTCGCTAAGATCAGAAACGTTGCTGCTCGGGGAGGACACCATGGTGCTTCCACCATGAACCCTGCAGAGGAGCAAAACAATTGAGTTTTTTCCACCCACTTGGCACGAACATCTCAGCACGGCGGGGTCGAAGCACACCGGCATGTGTCAAAGATTTTTCGGCGGACTTTTATACCTGCACGACTGAGTCGACTCTACAACCAACGCAGCAGCGGTACTGCGGCCACGCGGCACGGTCCCGGCTGGGCCCGGAACGCCCCACCAGCGCCTCGCCCAGCCGGCGGCCGCCGCACTCCTCACTGCCGGGGGTGCGCGGAGAGCCCGTAAGCGGACGAGGTCGCGCACGAACCGCTGCGGCCCCTCATTCCACCGTTCGCGGATCTCCGAGCCGAGGACCAAGAGTCTCTGTGGACCCTTGTAAGCTCAAGAAACGTGGACCTTTTGCGGCGCTCGGCGACCTTCAACACCGCCCCATCGACCTCGACGGTGATAAGCGTCCAAAGGCACATCTAGATTA